GTAATTATTTTAACATTAATTTTTAGTAAAAAGGATTAGAGAAGAAAGGGAAGGATTATTTGAACCTTTCTTCTTCTTCCTCCTCTTTTCTCCATCTTCTTCTCTTGTACTGCTGCTCTTACTTTTCTTCCTCCTTTTTCTCTCTAATTTTTCAAGTTTACACCTATTTTTGAGGACTGGTTTACATCTTGGATGCCTGTTAAGGCTTAAAGGATTGACTTGGACTGAAAGTAAGTGGATCTTTTCGTTATTGGATTGAATTGGATGTCCAGTCCAGTCTGATAAAAATCCAATCCATCTTGGTCTGTTACCTTTGGAAGGATCAGTTATTGGACAGGATCAGATTTGGATATTATGGATTGGATCATTATTGGTTTTAGATTAGATTGGACCAAATCCATTCTAATGACAGCCCTGTTGGAGGGTAATTAATGGAGACCCGGTTAACTATAATGTATAGATAAAGGGTGTACTTGGGCTGATATTCGTAGTGGCTCGTACTTTTAGTACAGTTAATAAATCTTACAGTTACTAAAAAAATTGTCCATTTTCCTCAAATGGTTCATGGACATATCATATTGACCATTCACTGTAGTTAGCATTCTCTTTTTCTTTTTCATTTAGGTAGCAACTTTTCTATTCTCCACCCAAAAATACAGTTACTAAAAAAATTGTCCATTTTCCTCAAATGGTTCATGGACATATCATATTGACCATTCACTGTAGTTAGCATTCTCTTTTTCTTTTTCATTTAGGTAGCAACTTTTCTATTCTCCACCCAAAAATATAGGAGTTTCTTACTATGAAGTTGAAAGTTGAAACTTGTATGTTGCATTCTTCATGGTTATACACTTCAAAGTGCACATATTTGAGAATTAACTTAAAACTTCATTGAAAAAAGAAGAGGGGACGATATAGAAATTGGTTACTTAATGATTGACCAAGAAAAGGAAAAACTGAAAAGATTATGGATGGCAGAGGAATATGCAGTCTATGATACATTCTCTCATCCTGTTTCTCATTTTATATCTCTATGTTCTATCTATTGTCTCTCTATCTCTCTATATACATCAAAAGTATGCATAATTACAATCATAAATTGTTACACGGTGATTGTCCAGCAATGTCCATTCAGAATTGAGGATGCTTGTCTCTCAGTCAATTTCAAGGTCATATTTGGCTGTAAGTAATGGTATGGCTGTATTGTATTCATAGTTTATGCATATCTTCCAGGTTGTTTTCCTTGAAGCAGCTGAAGCGCGTGCAGCTTTCAAAGGTTTGGCATATAAGCGTTACAAGTAAGTTAAATTGTTTTTTCTCTTTCCATCATTGAAAAGCTGTAGCAAACAATAATGCACAATGTTAACCATTATCCAAGACTAACTGGTGAATGATGGTGTTTCTGTCTGCCAGCGTTCACTTTAAGTAAACTGATAAAAAAGTGTTAACCTAAAGTAATGAACCTGTTTCTTAAGTCTTTCAGCTCGCTCATTTGTTTTAATTGAGTTGCAGTGTCCAAAAAAGAAAGAAAAAAAAAAGAAAGCATTGTTTTTTGATTAGTAAGAAAACAAGAAATTATGACTTCATGGTCTGTTTAGCCTTGATGCATTTTTGGTTTTGCTCTGCAAGTCTGCTCAGAGATGTTTTTGTTCTAAGCTATGCTCTAGCTTAAGATGCAAGTGTATTCAAGATATGCTTGTAGTAGGTTGCAATTTCAAGGTGATACATCTTCTATCCTCTAATGTGATACTTAGGTTGAAAAGGGAAGGAAACAATGGACAAAGAAATGACATTTTTCTTAATTTCTCATCCATTGCTAATTTCATAGTTTCTATTATTTGATTTGGGCCAATTCTGATTCTTTTTGGTTATTTTTGTTTTCATTATTTTTGTAAGGATTCATTTATTAGTCTAGATAATTTAAATACACTTATTAGGGAGTTTTAGAATTTATAGTGGTTCTTGTTTCATCACCTTTCATCTGAAGTGTAGGTGTCAAATCTCAGAATTTTTCCATCTGCCTTCATTTTGGTGTCATTAAAATAGGGTTTTCATCCAATGAGACCAAGATCTTGCAAAAAAGAATGTACTCTGTGGAAAATTACAACCATTACCCATAGGGTTTTGACTGGTGACAGTAGTTGAGTCTTTTTTATATGTATATTTTAGAGGTTTTTATCTGTTATTCCACCTCAGAAATCGAAATGTCCGATGGCCTTGTACGGAGTGCGAATTGATGGTTGACTCCTAGCATTACATATGTAATTTTTGTTCGCTCCACCAATTTGAACACGTCAGCCCTGTGCTTGTTTTTATTCCAACTATACCCCTCGAGTTCCTAACCTCCGTTTGAACGTCCTAGCCTCATGTATTCCTCTTCCTCTTCCTCCTGCTTTCATCGTCTTCCTCTTCTTCCTACTTTCGTCGTCTTCCTCTTCCTCCTGGTCTCACTCGAGTCCCTAACCTCTGTTTGAATGTCCCAGCCTCATGTATTCATCTTCCACATCCTCCAGTTTTTAGCTTCTTTCCCTTCCTCTTGGTTTCACCTTCTTGCTCTTCCTCCTGGTTTAACCTTCTCCATCTCATCTTCCTCCTCGTGCATTCGCCGTGGTCGTGCACCTCTGGTTCATTTTCCTTCTCTCTCATTCCCCATGGTCATGCATCTCTGGTTCATCTTCCTCCTTATGCATTCGCCATGGTCGTGCATCTGTGGTTGCATTTCTTCTTGTTTGTTTCAACAGTGAAGAGCCCATAAGGATCTCTTTTTTTCCTACTGAGTTTTTAGGAAGTTCGTCTCCTCCTGGTTTTTTAGCAAGTTGACCTCCCCCCGGTTGAAGCAAGAAATCGTAGAGCTGACGTGTCCTGTATTTCCCTCTAGCTTGTCTTCTTCCTCCCAGTTTCCCATTGAAGCTCCCGTTAGGCTACCTACTTCATTTTCAGAATTTTCAAGTAGTTCAGCTCCCATAGTGTCGTTCTGTTGAGGCTCTCTTTGTGCCATCAATCATCGCCTGTTTGTGGTAATCCTCTATAGATGGGGTTTAAATCATTGTTGATTTTTAGTTTAGAACATGTGATATGTTGTTATCTTGTCATGGGTTCTAGTGTTATGTATATCCCCACCTCGGCTGTGTGAATTGGAAGAACATCGACGGAGTCACAGTTGGGAATGGTGGCCCAATTGGAGTCACGGTTAGGCTTGATGAGTGAAACAAAGCTTTTGGGTAAACCTCGATTTCGCTCCGTCGACCAAGGTCGTCGGTAATTTTGCATCCTGTTCGGGCCAGATGTTAATATTGGGACATTCTGGAGTGCCCTGAGCCGGTTTTGCGGCCAATGCACTGCTCCTTCAGTCCACGTGCCTCTTAGGGCAACTTAGTGAATTTGGTCACGTGTGCGTTTCAATGGGTAGGGTTAGGGTTGGGCTATAGGACCTGCACGACGGGGTAGGGTATTGCCCTCAATGACATGGGTCTTATGGCGGTGCGATCGAAGTTACGGTTAAGCTTGACAGAGTGAAACAGAGATTTTGGGTAAACCTCTTTTTCGCTTCGTCAAGCAAGGCCGACGGCAATTTTGCATCCCGTTTGGGCCGGATGTGTAAATTGGGACATTCTATAGTTCCCCAAGTTGGTTTTGCGACGAACGCACTGCTCCTTCGGTCCACGTGCCTCTCAAGGGCAACTTAGTGGATTTGGCCGCGTGTAGCGCCAATGGGTAAGGTTAGGGATGGGTTGTGGAATGGCTGCCTGATCAGAGTTGTGGTTAGGCTTGACCGAGCGAAATAGCACTTTTGGGTAAACCTCCATTTTGCTTCGTTAGCCAAGGTCGTCAGCAATTTTGTGTCCCATTCAGGCTGGATGTGTATATTGGGACACTCCGGAGTGGCCCAACCCAGTTTGGTGGCCAACACACCCCTCCTTCGGTGCACGTGCCTTTCTAGAGAAACTTAGTGGATTTGGTAACGTGTAGCACGCCAATGGGTAGGGTTAGGGATGGGCCGCGGGACCCTCACGGTGTGATAGGGTTTTGTCCCCCAATGACAAGGGTCAAATGGCGGCCCGATTGGGATCATAGTTAGGCTCGATGGAGCGAAACAGAGCTATTGGGTAAAACCTTCCTTTCTCTTTGCCGGGTAAGGCTGTTGGCGATTTTGTTTCCTGTTTGGGCCGGATGTGAATTTTGGGACATTCCGGAGTGCCTTGACTTGGTTTGGCGGCCAACACACTGCTCCTTCGTTCCACGTGCCTCTTAGGGGCAACTTAGTGGATTTGGCCGTGTGGCATGCCAATGGGTAGGGTTGGGGATGGACCGCGGGACCTGCACGGTGTGGTAAGGTATTGTCCCCCAATGACAGGGGTTGAATGGTGGCTCGATCGGAGTTATAGTTAGGCTCGATTGAGCAAAACGGAGGTTTCGGGTTAAGCTTCGTTTTGCTTCGTTTTGCTCTGTCGGCCAAGGCTGCCGACATTTATGTGTCCCATTTGTGTCTGATGTGAATAATGGTACATTCCAGAGGATTGACATGGCATGGTAGGGTAATGTCCCCCGATAGCAAGGGTCGAACGATGGCTTGATCGAAGTTACGATGAGGCTTGACGGAGTGAAACGGAGGTTTGTTCACCCTTGTTCAAATTTAACATATGTCTCCAACTTCCCTATCTTACATCCTAAATCACTACAAGTGTACCCCTATATACACCTCTCCCCACCCATCTATATATCAACATGAAATTACATAATTAGTTTACTCATATGACACACGGATGGTGAAGTGGAAACTATCTTCTTCATTTTTAATTTTAGTCTCATGCCTTAGATGAAGCAATCCCAGTCAATTGGAAAATGATATTTGATCAGGGTTTAAGGGGTTATAGTCCATTGCATAAATCATGATGCACAATGGCCTTATACGGAGAATGAAAAGTGCACCCCACAAACCCCCAAAAATTCCTAGAGTGGTAATATCTAATATATTAAATATCTGGTTGTTATGTGTTTTATTGATTGTTTAAAACTGGGAGAGTTCAATGAGGGTTAAGAGCATATTATTGTCAAACTCTTAGTTTGATTTTTCTTGGCCATATTGAGAATTTATGAAATTGTAATGGGCATCGATCATAAAAAGTTCAAGGTACATATGTCATCAATGGGAAACAGTAAGATGAGTTCCTATAATTGCATAATAGTTCATGTATAGTGTTCTACTACTGGTCATGCAATGGTAAGCAATAGCACCAAAAACCGGCTGTTCATGTGGAAAACAAAAACCAATTATAAGCCATAGCACCAAAAAACCAGTCATTCATGTGGAAAACAAAAAACAATGGTACGTAATAGCACCAAATACCAGCCCTTCATGTGGAAAAGAAAACCACCAAGGACTCATTAATACCTCCTGAGCCATAACTTCATTGGTCGATCAGTGCCTTGCACATGCTCTTCCAAAAGGGCTACCGAGTACACTCTATACAAATTGGTGGTAGTTAACTCACGGGCATATGAATGGGGTAGTGAAAACCTTCATTAGAGGACCATGCGTGCACGCTACTGAGGAGTAATTTCTTGGAATCTTCGTTCTACTACCTGTGTGCACTGACATTTAGATGTTCGGACTACTTGTGCACCATCTGATGAGTAGCTGATCGGCCTATCTGATGGACTAGCTGCAGGCTGCAGCTGAGGTGAAAAGCCTATTCGTAGGCCAACCCGAGTGGAGTTACACGACCGCTGTAGTTGCTAGATGGCAACATCTCTTCACGTTGCCCTAGGCCCGCCGGCCAATGCTGTTAATGCCCTCCGTTGCAGACAGGGAAGGCTGCAAAGACTATTTGCAGGACAATTGACTCCGAGTGGCTAATAAGCAACTCAAATGGTCTCTACGAGGCAACCGTCACCATTGTGGTGAATAGAAACGAGTCCTCGTTAACGGGCGAACTCTGTCCGCTAGATAAAGCAAGCGTCTAGACAGCTGCTCATCTTGCAATGTGGCACCTTAAAGAGGCATAGCATGTACGCGCTGTTGATGTTACATACCCGGAGTACCGGCACTATGCTCGCCTATGCCACAATCTTCAAAAAGAGGTGGATGATCTACAGCTTGAGAATCTGGCATTGAAGATTAAGATCGCACGCCTGGAGCGCGATCTTGACGAGTTTAGGGCAAGGCCTGACAACAGTGTGTCAAGCAACCACCTTTGAAGGGGTTGTATACTAACCATCCACAACTTAGCCTATTAAAGACAATCCTATGTTTGTGTGCTCAGGACTACTCAAGCGTATTGTTCTTTATTGTGTCTACTAATACAACTCCCCTCCTTTTTTCTCTTCTAATATGTTTGTCAATATCCTATATTTGTATGTAAACTAAGATGTAATAGAACTACCTATGCACCAGGTGCTTATTGATGTTGCACTACGAGTCAAGTTAACTCATTGTTATATAAAAATGGAATGGCATCCACTTTGACGGCGTGAAAAGCCTATACAACCACCAACACCGTGTAACGATACCCAACCACACTGTGTCCAGTCTCGCGTCCCATCTGTATCTCTAACCCTTATTGCGCCATACTCAGCCAAACCACCAAGTCAACCCTGAGTGGCACATGGACCGGAGCGGTTGTGTGTTCGCGGCCAAACCGCAATAGGATACTCCGCAAAGTATCGATATTTATAGTCGGCAAGAACGGGTTGCCTAATTAATTGCCTACGGCCTTGGCCAACGGAGCAAAATAGAGGTTTACCTTAACATAGCCTAAATGAGCTATGTAATAATCCTAAGTATGTGGCATCATGTTCATTTTTTTGTTTCGTTAAGCTTGGAGCTTTCTTTTGAAAGTTGAGGGAATCCTCTCTTGGGTGAGTGAGTCCTAAACCCCTTTGGTTGAGTGAGTCCCCAACCTTATTGCCTCGTTGTAATCCACCTTATATTAATGAAGTTCTATCCAATTTCCTCCTTTTCCATTTCTTCTTTGAACAAATTTCTTATTTTTCTTTCTTTATACTTGAGCTGCATCAAGCAATCCCCAACAACTTCAAGAAGACGATGATTTTTCCTTTACAACAACATTCTATTGAGGAGTTCCTATGAATGAGCTTCAGTGAAGAAAGCCACTGGAAGTAAAGAAATAAGTTAGATCACCATGGAAGTACTCCTTTACGTTGTCAAATTGGAAAACTTGTATCTCAATCTGAAACTATGTAAAAACAATATGTTGGAAATTTACAAGTTTAGGTATTTCTTCCTTGAAGTGCATTGGATAAACCCATGTATATTTGGAGAAGTCATCAATGAAAGTAATGGAATACTTGTAGCCATTCTCAAATGAAATAGTAGCAAAGCCCCAAACATTAGAGTGGAAAGGATAATTAGATCTTTTATTTCTTAAAGGAAATGGAGTTCTATAATGCTTGTTTAATTGACAAGTTTGACACGGTAACTCAGTTATTGACATGGACTTAAATAATTCTAGAAAAAAAATTCGAGGACTCAAATGACATATGACCAAGGAAATTATGCCAAAAAAAACTTGACTTTTATTAGACTTGTAAATTTGGATTCAGTATTCTTCTTTCTCATCATTGAATGTAATGTTTCGCACCACTGATTAAAAGGAAAAACTGGGTTTATTCTGAGGATGAGTATTCACCATTAATTGAAATAGTAAAATAATGCGCCTTTCATTTTCTGTTGAAAACTTTTACTTCTTGGTGCAACATCAATATAGTTGGGCTTTCTTGGTCCATTTCCTCTTTAGTGCCAAGTGGGAAATTAGCTGCCCCAATCCAGTAAAACTTGTCATAAGCGTTTTTGAGAATGGCTATCTATGTTTGTGAATTGCTAGGACCCTCTAGTTGTTAGCTTATTTAAAATAACTCTTTTAGAATTCATGGTTTCTCTAACTAGTAGCCTAGATATTCTTTTACAGGTAACTTAGTGTTTACAATCTAGAAGTTGAGCTTGCTATTTGCTTCTTGTATCTAGTGTTATTTTGGTGGTCCATTTTTTAGCATCCTATTTGTCATGTGCTTGTGTAATCCTATCCTTTTTATGTTTTTGTTACATGTCTGTTGTTCACTGGTTTTCATGTCTTTAGGCATTGTTATTCTTTATTATGTCCATAGTACCTTCACCCCTATGTGTTTTCTATCAACTGCTTTTAGTAAAAGCGTTAGTTGAGCATTTTCCAGATGAAAATTTAACTTTCTTCTTCTCTCCATAGAGATGCTCCATTGTACCTGGAATGGGCTCCTGAGAACATTCTTAGTCCAAGTTCAACATCAGAGACTGAACAGACTAATGATATTGTTGGCGAAAAGGATGTCAAGAGAGTATTATTAGAGCAGCGTGTGGAAGGAATATCAGAAGTGGATATTGATCCTGATAGAGTTGAGGTTTGACATTAATCTTAATATAGGAATTCCTCTTCCTTTCAATATATATGACATAATCAGTTTCCTGTGATTCTTTCTGTTTTTTTTTTTTTGTGTTTCCTTTTTATTGCATTCATTTAAAGAGTTAATCATGGAAGAAAGTTCTCTTATCCTTCTGTTTTGGTGTATTCCCTATCAATGAAAGATCAACACATATATTCTTTTCCCACTTCATCCAAGTTGTAGAAAGAGGTCTAGTCATTGATAAAGAAAAAGGGTAAATAAAGGAATTAATGGTGATTGGATTAACTGTTCTGAAAAATGCCAACTTTGAATAAATTAACAAGGAAAAACATGTTGTAGTGAAGGTGGATGTGCAGTGTCTGGTCATTTTGGCCTACCTGGGTGATGTGTCAATTACTGCTAGTCGATTTGATAGGTCACCTTGTCTAATGTGGTTCTATAATTGTGGAAAAACCTCCTCTACTAGCTCATCACTATTTTAGAGAAAAAAAAGCTAAAATACTCCCAAAACTCATTCTTTCTCTCTCTCTCTCACTCTCAGTTTCTGATCCGGGACATCCCAAAACCAGGTACGTCTTTGAAGTGGCAAAAGATAATAAAAGTTTGTTTATAGAATTACCTTTTCTTTTCGAAAGGAGACTTTTTTTATCTTAGGGCCATCTCTAAATTTACCCCATCTTTTTCCTTTCTGTTTTGAACATTGGGGTTTTGCCCTTCCCCAAACACAGACCTTGATGAAGATAGGATTTGATCCCAGGTTTCTGCTACAACAAGCCCAGTGATTTAAAAGGCGCGCCTAGGCGCACAAGCGAGGTGCATTTTGGGATATGCACCTCGCCCAGGTCTTAGGCACACCCCTTTCAAAAGGCCCAGGTGTGCACCATTTTAAAATTTTGCACTATTTGCTAATGTTGTTCATTCATTCATTGCATTAAAATATCTTCTTAAAAGGCAATGGAAGTTATAAAATCATTTTTTTTTATGTGAGATAAGAATTTCAGACCCTGACATAGACTTGTTTGGGCTTGCCTCGAGGGGCGTGTGTTAGTGTCGACTGTATAGGGGTAGTTTAGTCCTTCTATTTATATTTAAGCTGATGTGTAATGTTTATGTTAAGTGATGTGTCCCATACTTAAGTAGGGACATAATATAACCTAGCCGACTAGAGAGAGTGACTTTCTCTCTTCTTTGAACCAGTTTTCTTCTTCACCTTTCCTCTCTTCTCGTCTCTTCTCTTCTTCTCTCTTTTCTTCTCTATCTCCTCTAATCTTCCTCTAATTTTAACAGAATTCTAGTGCAGGTCTGAACTTTATCATGGTATCAGAGCAACTGTGAAAAAAAGAAAAAAAGTCAGATCCGCCCAGAATTCTGTTCTCTCGCCATTCAGCCTAGGGTTTTACAGTTTTCCTTATTATCAGTTGGAGATAGGAAAAAGGGTTGAAAAGGAGTGATCACCCTTTCCTTTTGGAGGTTTTCATGCCTCTTGTCAGTGGTTTAGTGGGTGTTTGCAGTGGTTTCTAGGAAGCCCTCTAATCGATGGTACGAAGGGGGCTATTTCAGGTGGTGCAGTGAACAGTTGAGTGTTAGGCTGTTTTTCGGTGATCAAATAGGTGGGACATATGTGTGTTTCAGTGAGGATTGAGTGGTTGGTGAGTTGCTAGTGCTATGATGTGTATTAAGGTAGTTGTGTGGTAGTTTTTATGGTGCTGAAAGTAAAGAAATCAGTGAAGGGTATTGCTGAAATTTGTGACTATAGGTAGTTCCGCTAGTGTGCAGTTTGTTGTGGTGCTGAAAGTGAAGAATTCAGTGATGGGTATTGCTGAAAAAAAATATTGACTGTAGGTGGTTCCACTAGTGTGGAGTGTGGTGAAAAGTGATTTAGAAGCTTGATATACGAAGTAAAGAAGGGGAAGAATTCAGATATGGGAGTTCAGCCCAGTCATAGTGGCAGCAGTGGATTCATGTATGGTCGTAGTGGTGGTGTTGGACCCATGTATAGTCGTAATGGTGGACGTGTTGGAGGCCAAGTTTCAGGGGGAGCTCGTGGTAGAGGACGTGGTAATGGTCCAAGGAGGTGTACTCGTTATGGTATGGAAGGGCACACCATTAACTTCTGTTAGGATTTGCATGTCCCACCTTCAACTTGGGTAAATCATGCAGTGTCCAGTGATAGTAGTTCAAGATAGGATATCCAACAAGCTGATTAGATGCCCTTTACATCTATGGGTGTCTCCAGGAAGGAGATGATAAGTATCCCACATGATGAGTATGAGCGGTTTATCCAGGCCACCTCTCAACAGAATACAGTTACTCTTGCTCACAGGTATGGCTTGTATGGCATCCAAACCCACCTCCTGGATTATCGACTTTGGAGCTTCTGATCATATGACTGGGACTCTAGGTGTGTTTTCCTCCCTTTCATAGTGCTCCACATCATAGTATGTTACCCTTGCTAATGGTTCCGCATCCTCCATTTGTGGTGTTGGTAATGTTGACATAGACCTTTTTCCTCTGTCCTCAGTTTTGTATGTTCCCAAATTCCCTTTTAATCTTATGTCTGTTAGCAAGCTAACCAAGTCTCTTAATTGCTTTATTACCCTTTACCCCTCTTCTTGTGTCTTTTAGGATCTCAAGACGGTGAAGAAGATTGGTGGAGGGTATGAAGCTGGTGGTTTGACAACAACCCTTTAGACATCCCTTTCTCCTTTTTAGTGGCATTGTAGACTTGGTCATCCATCACTTAAAGCACTAGAGTCACTTATTCTATCGTTGAGTCATCTTTTTGTTCTGGATTGTGAGTCATGTCAGTTGGGGAAATATCATCGTGTTCCCTTTAGTCCTAGGGTTGATAATCGTATGTCAAGTCCTTTTTCTTTAAGGTCATTCTGACTAAAGGGACTTGACATACGATTATCAACCCTAGGACTTGTTTCCTACCTTGAAGGTCATTCTCCTTTCACCACCTTGTTTCCTACCTTGAAGGTCATTCTGACATACGCCCATCCTTGAAGGTCATTCTCCTTTCACCACCTTGTTTCCTACCTTGTCTCCGTTTTCTCTTACTCCTATGGTTTTCGAGTGTGTATGTTTTGTTCATAATCTTGGACTTGGAATCGACAAATTAGATGCACGATCCACTAAGTGTATCTTCCTTGGCTATTCCCAGACCCCAAAAGGGTATGTGTTATAACCCTAGTTCTCGACGTTCCTTTGTGTGTCCTAATGTTACTTTATTTGAGTCTACTCCGTTTTTCTCTGGGTTAGGTGATGTCTCTTCTTCTTCACCTCCTCTTCCAATTCCCGTTGAGGACCCCATTCCACTTGTTCTAGTTGTGACTAAGTCCTTGCCTCTGGTGCAATTTCCTGTTGAACGACCACCCATCCATAAAGTGTATACGCATTGACAACATGTATTAACTCCTCCAGCTTCGTCACCATCAATAGATCTGGCAGTTGTTACCACACCAGCCCTAACTCCTATTTCTGACCTAGGCCTTCCTATCGCCTTGCGGAAAGGTAAGCGCAGTTGCACACTTCATCCCATTCTAATTATGTTTCTGTCTTTTACCTTTCTACTTCCCATCGCTAGTTTGTTTCTCTGTTGTCTTCTATTTCTATCCCTACTGTTGAGAATGGTTAGACGAATGTTTTTTGGTCATTTTCTCCTTTCTTATACTCTCTCTGTATTTGGGCACCCAGATAGGGGCCTTGTAATTATTAATTTTCAATTATAAAGTGAACTTTTGAGGGTGTGAACAATGAACTTCACACACCTCTCTACACTTTCCTTTCTTCTTCTTCTTCTTCTTTTCTTCTCTTCTTTCTCTCTCTTGAAACCCTAGTTTCTGCAACTTGGTATCAAAGCGGGTAGAAGCATCTGGGAGTTGGTTTCTGTTGATCTCCTACCTAGAGGCGAACTGCTGGCGTCAGACTGCTGTCGGATGACGTCTGCAGTCACTACAAGTGTCGGTGGTAGTCTATGAAACCAACACAGTTTGATTCGCCCTAATTTTAGAAAAATTTTGGTATGACTCTTGTTGTTATATGAAACTTCTATAATTTTTGGTGGATTTTTCAAGGAAAAAATCGCAGAAATTCCAGATCTGATGTCGAGCCATGTACAAAAGGTTTAATTATTCTTTTTTTGCTTTAAAACCTAGACCATTCAGGTCATTTTTCAATTTGTGATTGATGGGAAGTGTTGGTAATTTTCTGAGCATTGTGTGATTTTTGGGAGATTTTTTTCTCCCTCTATTTTTCCGCCAACCTAATTTTTTGGGTCTTATTTTGGTTCTTAACCGTGGGGTAACGTGTTTTTGTGTCTGGAACCTCGGTTAAAGTGTTGGGGGTCCGTTTTGGTTGGTGAAAAGGTGTCTTGTTAGAATATGGAATCATCTAAGGTTTTTCAGATGGTTCCCGGTGTGCTCTCAGGAACTGCAGATATTTCCAGTGGTATGATAACTACTATTAAGCTGGATGGAACTAATTTTTTAGAGTGGTCTCAGTCTGCTAAACTTACCATTACTGGGAGGGGTAAACTGGAATTCATCACAGGAAGGGAAGTGAAGCCGAGTCCTGAAGACCTGAAATTTGCAAGGTGGGAACAGGACAACTCCCTTGTTATGTCAAGGCTGATTTGCTTAATGCAACCTCATATTGCCTGAGTGTATCAGCTTCGGAGGGAAGCTTGTAGTATGCGTCAAGGGAGAGATCTGTTGCTATGTATTTCTCTTCTCTACGGTCTATCTGGGAAGAAATGGATCACTTGAAAGTTCTAGTTTGGAAGGACCCTGAAGATGGTGAGTAGTATCGGAAGTACATAGAAGAGAATAGAGTCTTTGATTTTTTGGCTGGCTTGAACCCAGAGTTTGATTTCACTAGACAACACATTCTTAGTGTAGGCGTTGTTTCTCTTGCTACTGCTTACTCTCTTGTACAAGGGGAAGAAAGCCGAAGAACCGCCATGATGCAATCCTCTATGAGTGATCATTCTGCCT